TATTGCCAGGATGTGGCTTGGCAGTCTTAGTAAAAATCCCCCCAGTTGCTGGGCAAAGAGTGGTGTGGTGTTTTCTGCCACAGGTGATGCATCGTTTACGATTTGGGCAGTCTTTGACTTGGTGATTGTCTCTCAGACAATTATAGCAAAGTTTCTTATCTTGTACAGTTTTATTTTTAACTTCAAGAGGGACATCTTTGCAAAAGAGAGGAGAATGTCCCAGACTGCAGAACACACACTTCCAATCATTTTTTGGAGGGGATCTTTGCATCTGAGGAGCAAACTTAGGGGTATATACAGGAGGGTCAGGTTTGGAGGGGGGTTGGGAAGAGATGTTGGAGGTTTTTGGAGGGGTCACTTCCCTTTCGGGAGATTCAGAGCTTTTTCTCTTTTGTAACCGCAGCCCTGCCTTAAAAGAAGATACATGTTTAGGAGGATGTGGTTCACGGTCTGCTAAGTCCAGAAATTGGAGTCTAAGCCACCAGTATTTATTCTCTGGTTGACGCTCCCAGGATAGTTTTTCAGTTAGGGGAGCTTGGGCAATTAAATTGTCAATCATCATATGGGGGGTAAGGCTGGCTTGCACCAGGGGCCATACCCGTTTTTCTACAGCCTTTGGGTTGCCCTCCAATTTGATAAGTTTACCAATAATATTGGTGGCCCGGTCAGCATATTCGGCTGCACCAAACAATGACCCATCACTGGGGGCAAGTTTCTCAAGTTCTCTGTAAAGCCTACGGGTGGTAGAAGTAATATTTCCATATTTATTAAAGAGATATTTGATGAGACCGAGATAATCTCTCTCAGTTTTCCTGCCTTGGAACATGGAGGTGGCTGTACGGGCCTCCCCAGACAAATGCATCCTGAGAAGGTTAATTCTTTGTCCAGGAGATACTTGAGCAAGGGGGGCTTCATGTATTGCCCCAAAAGTTTCCCAAATGCTGTCAAGACTTTCATCTTGATCTCTATCCCCATCGAACCTGACAAAGGCAGGGGAATCGCTTTTCTTTTGATAGCGAAAAACTTGATCTTCAGGGGCTAGCAAGGGAGCACCCTTACCATAAGACTCAAGAACCTTTTCCAATCTTGATCTCTATCCCCATCGAACCTGACAAAGGCAGGGGAATCGCTTTTCTTTTGATAGCGAAAAACTTGATCTTCAGGGGCTAGCAAGGGAGCACGGAATGGTATTCTGAGTTCTTGGAAAAGGTCTCGACCTAAATATTATCCACCATAGAGTCACAACGCCTCGTTGTAGAGAAGTACTATCCCTATAAGTCCTTTCTAATGAGGGAATTAAAGAAACTGATTGGGTCTCAAGTAATGTCTCCAATTATCTCTTATATCAACCCAAGTAGCAAATTTAATGGAGCTCAATTGTTCAAGAAGTTTCTTTAGCCCCTCCTTAGAAAGATTACTCCCTTAATTTCTTTGACATTAGGTCTCAAGTAATGTCTCCAATTATCTCTTATATCAACCCAAGTAGCAAATTTAATGGAGCTCAACTGTTCAAGAAGTTTCTTTAGCCCCTCCTTATCAGAATTGGACCAGGAGGCTGGATTAACTCTGGAAAGAAAATTAAAAATCTCAAACAGATCTGGTCGGTACTTGTCAAGCTGACATTGGTTGTAATCATCATCAGTTATCTTTAAAACCCGGTCAATTTTAAGAATAATATTGCTTAATAAGAGAAGTTTAGGAACAGGATCTCCATCTTCAACCTGAGAAGGTTCGGTGGAGTCATTAGAATCAGTGTCTTCAGACACTGGTGTAGGAGGCCTGAAATTGTTCAAGAAGTTTCTTTAGCCCCTCCTTGTCAGAATTGGACCAGGAGGCTGGATTAATTCTGGAAAGAAAATTAAAGATCTCAAACAGATCTGGACGGTACTTGTCAAGCTGACATTGGTTGTAATCATCATCAGTTATCTTTAAAACCCGGTCAATTTTAAGAATGATATTGCTCAATAAGAGAAGTTTAGGAACTGGATCTCCATCTTCAACCTGAGAAGGTTCGGTGGAGTCATTAGAATCAGTGTCTTCAGACACTGGAGTAGGAGGCCTGATGGGTGTCCTTTGAGGACGTCCAGGTCTCCTTTTAGGTTTAGCAGTTGCAATTGGAGCAGGTTGAGAAGAACCCGCAATTAAACTTAATTCCTGCGGATTAGGATTCCCGGAAGGGATAATGGCAGGATCAGGAGGATTTGTTCCCAGATTTTGGGCTCCCAGTTGACGGGTTACAGGACCTTCAGTCCTCATTTTTGTTGTTGTTGTTTTAGAAGGAAAGATCACACACGAATTTATAAAGTTTTCAGAAGAAGGTGTAAGAAAGGATTTTAGAGACATACACAGAAAAGAGCTGACAGCACAGGATAAGAAAAGTAAGTAGAATAATTTTTAGATACCTGATGAAGGTTTGTTTTTATTGAAATAAACGGACCACGTAGGAAGGGCAGCACACAAGATTGTCTCAAGAGGTATATATTCTTTTAGTCATAAGAAAGATGTAAAATAAATTTGAAGAGAAATAGATTTCAAAAGGAGCCAAAGAATCACAAGTTTATTTAAAAAGTTTGTTTTAGAGGCGCAGTGGAAGCAAAGATTTTTTTTTTGGCAGAACCACGCTCTGCTACCAGTTTTTTGTACGGTTTTAATCAGAAGAAATTAGGAAGAATGTTCAAGCCGTACACCTTGATAAATGTTATTGATGTAGCTAATTGATTATGATTTGGAACACCTTAGAAGAAGATCAACTGACAGATGTAAACTGAAGAATTTGTAAAGAATGGAAGATTTAAGAATAAATTCAACACAGCAATTGGCCGGTGAGTTTTAATCAGAAGAAATTAGGAAGAATGTTCAAGCCGTACACCTTGATAAATGTTATTGATGTAGCTAATTGATTATGATTTGGAACACCTTAGAAGAAGATCAACTGACAGATGTAAACTGAAGAATTTGTAAAGAATGGAATATTTAAGAATAAATTCAACACAGCAATTGGCTGGTGCGCGAACCAACCAGGGATTCTCTCCCAAACAGCGCAAGCCTTTGTTAGCAGATCAACAAAAATAGTACAAAGTACAAAATATGCACAACAGTTTTGACAGGAAAATATGCACAACAGGTTTTTCGCGGACTTGTAAATTTTTAGCAAATACGAATTTCGAGAACACAACGTAACGCTTTGCACGCAAAATTCGGACTGTGTCTTTCGGCGCCAAAATCAGGGGTTTTAACTGGAAAAATCGACAGGGAGGGTTGGGTAATATCTTCAGGGAATCCCAGATGTTGGGTAACAAAAAATACCAGGTGCTGGTGTTTTTCACTATTTTGCAGTTGAACTAGTAATGTTTTCCCAGGAGACAGGGTGGCTTTTACGATTTTGCTGAACTTTACAAGGCTGAATTTGTTGTTCCCAAAGACCGGGTGTCTTGAAGGCTTGTAAAAATATAAAAGAGAGGAGAACATGCTTGTAGAAGTAATTTAATTTTTGCTGGTACTTTAGTGTTTCTTGACAGTTTAGAAAAGGTTTGGTCTTGTGAAGATAAATCGTTTTTAGGGAAGAGGATACAATATTTTTTGAGAACGCGTCGCCAGCAGATGGTTGAGTTTTTCTGTGAGTTTTGGAGGGGTTAGATGACCCCTGTTTTCGCGGAAAAGAGAAGAAAAGAAAGGGGGGATTTGATGTCCCCCTGTTGATAAAGTGGAGACGTTGTTTTTGACGACTGTTTTGTCCAGGTTCCGGGGGTTGTACTCGTTTTCTCAGGTGAGGGTTAAGATATTGTTGGTGTGCCGACTTTGGCAAGTTAATTGATTCCGCCTGTTTCCCCACCAAGGGGATTAATTTACAGCCCCGAGCGCGTCCCGAGACGCGCCAATTTCGGTAAACCCGAGCTATTTGTCCCTTTTCAGGGAAATCGACACTGCCGCTGGTGTCGAGAAAAAATTCCGCACAGAACATGTGAAACCCATATCCTCTTCTGACATGTACAAATGTATTGAAAAGCTCACATGTTCCATTTCATGTCATCTTAGCTGTTCTTTGGAAACATGGCCAAATTGGATGCATCTAGGTTACATCAACTACTCATGTATGTGCCATCACAACATGTCCAAGAAGAGCATTATGCTGACACAAAATAGGACATTATTTTACATTAAATTTGATGTGCACAATATTCATGATGGTTTTCCTGGGTTTAAGGTTTGTTTTGCCACATTTCCCCCCTATAATTGCTTATTTCAAGGTGAAAAAAGGGCTTAGCCTTTAAAATATTTTAATGTGCATTTAGATCTAATTTTGCAGGCCATGCAGGTCAGTGGATTGAAAATGGTTCAAGTCTGAAGTGTGCACACAATAGATTTGAGGATTTGCTGTTGTACTTAAAATACCAACAAACATGAATGTTAATCATTTTCCGCAAAGAAATATATAATTGCTTAGTTTTACCTTATTGACGAACAATATGCACATTAGCAATATATTTGAGATATTATTGAGATACTGTAATGAATATTTTTACAAATCTTATTTCTGTTGTATTCCTGTTGATGCATTTTTAGTGAAATTGTATAAATGATGGATTTTTCAGCAATGAAAAGAGGAGGGCATGAACAACTGCACAGTATTTCAAAACTATTTTCTCATAGAGTGTTTTGAGGTTGATCTTTAAATTTTGTTCTTCCTCCCATTTCTGGTCAGATAATCAAAAATTTTGTCTGACTTTTTTGGCGCGCCCCTTTCAGAAATATAATCCCCTAAGTTCCAAACTTTGGGAATGGTCAATAAATTGCGTCAAAAACATGACGCAAGTACCTACTCAGCAGTAATTCTTCACATATCCCTTTGTTTTGTTTCCACAAGGAAAAATTGCAACACTTTGTAAAACCTTTTCACAGGACAAAAATTGGTTTCTTGCATCAAAGATTTCTTGACACACAAACTCTCAACATTATTGTAAATTCAATTTTGCCATAAATTCACACAGAGTGTTGCAGTGATGGAGTCAGGTCTGTCTGGGTGTTTGTTCCTCTGGTCAGCTGCCTTTTCATGCATTTTACACTCCTGGTTTCATCCAGGGGCCTGTTGTCAGCAACATCAAGAACTTTTGCCAGATCCCAATAAATTGGCCTACTTGACAGTTGGGCCAAATTTACCAGGATCCGGCAGAAATTTAGAAAAGATGTTTTCCCAAAAATCCCCAAAGTTCGAAACTTTTGGAATGGGCAATAAATTGCGTCAAAAACATGACACGAGCACCGACTCAGCAGTAATTCTTCACATATCCTCTGCATAAGTACCATATACCTAAGTTTTTCTTTTGTCTTACCCTTTCTATTTTGCAGCTTGCATGCTTATGTCACAAAAATCTTCCAGATAAAACAAGGGCTTCACTTTTGTTGGCAAATGCAATGAGTAATATTGTACTCAACTGCAGATGGTAATAATTCATGTAGAAGTTCATGTAGATTCTGGCTGTTTTGCACACAAAGGAAAAAATGTGTCAATATTTGACCATAATTCTATTTTCAGGATTGTCAGAACCTTTGCTTTGTTGCCCTGCTGATCCACAAGTGTAACTGCACTGACTACAACTCTATCCAAACCTTCAAATTCAGAGGACAAATGAGGAATGTTCATGAACGGTTTTGTGACTACGCGACAGGTTTTGTGTCATGATTTTATAAAGAGTCCATTCCAAAATTAATTTCCTTTTTTTTCTGTATTATCATTCATTTTACCAAATGAACCTTTCATGGTTATTCTTATTTGGACATCAGATGGAGACAAGGAATGCTTCCTTGAAGTACTTCAAAGCACAACATCAACTCAGGAAATCGGATGTGAATGCAACCCTGCCTGTGTGTGAGTTATTTTTAATTTTAGTTTGTAAAGTTTTTCGCGAAAAAATTCAATTGAGGATTTGAATTGATTGTTCAAATGCCACCTATACTCTATACTGTATCTTGAACCTTGTGAATGCTGAAAAGCAGGAAATAAACCTTTCTGTTCATTCATTCATTGCAGGAATGTGGAGTATAGAATAACAACTTCAAGTTCGACTTGGCCATCTGAAACTTACATGGTATAATAACACAAACAATCAATCTTTGCATACATTTTGGATAAGATGACGATGTGATTACTCTTGTATCTGCATTTCATTTTCAGGACACAGTGGCAAAGAAATACTTGCAAGGCTCGTATTGGTCTGAGAATGAAGAAAGACACGACATAGTTACAGATTACGCCAGAATAAATGTCTACTTTGACACTTTGGACCAAATCGAAGTGCATGAAAAGCCAAAATACACCGTGAGTGTGATGAAAACTATTTCAAAATAATTTATTCTGTACATGTTTATTATATTTAAGCTTTCAACAATTATGAGTGACCTCGGTGGAGCAGCTGGGATTTACCTTGGCATTTGCGGAATCACCCTTTTCGAAATTGCAGCATTTCTAGTTAACTTTGTCAAAGTTATTGTGACATCAAAATGGAGAAAAAGTGTGGAAGTGAAGGTTGCAAACCCAGGGGTTAAATGGGATCATCCAACTTTGTCCACCATCACATGAACCTGAGCATACGAGTATTTTGATTTTTTTACTGACAGTATGTGTTGTCTTGAATCATGCTGAAAAATAAAAACAATACTAGTTGAGTTGCTGTCAAGCAGATTTGCCAAAGTTCTGTGTCATTTTGATTTTTCTTACAATATTCAGCAGCTGCAAGGACTCATCAAAGGTTTCAATTGTTTTCTTTATTCTTTCAAAGATGTCCAAGGAAGGTCATTTTGAAGTCTTATATCTAACCCTATAATATTATACCTAATCACATTGTATTCAAAATGTACACAGCAATTCATTGCAAACAAGGCTTTCCAGCAAAGAGAATTTGAGAAAGAAGTTACTTTACATGCAAGAAACATGTGTACATTGGGGTCTTGCTGGATCACAAAATCAATCCATCCCTGATGAGCTTATTGTTTGTTTACCAATTCTCATGTATCCTTAAAAATAACAATAATAAAGTAAAGTACCTGTAATGGAACCTTGAAAATTTCCATGAAAAATTATAAAAAATTACTTGAAATTGTTACTGGGATTAAAAATCCAAGAACTTTTCAATGAAAAAAATTAGGAGAGAAGCTCAACAGAAGTATAAATGAGGACAGGGATCTAAAAGGATGCCAGAGAGTGTGGGTGAATAAGTCAACACTTTCGTGGCAAAGAATTAGTTGAGTAAATTTATTTTGGCCCCTTATAGCCAATCAATTCACAGGATTCATTCACTCTGCACTTATGGGCAACCTGTGCCTGAAAGCAGGATAAAGAAAATGGACAGTTTTAAAATGCTATGCATATTTAAACAAATACTGTAAATGAAAATCACATCTAAAATTGGAACACTGTCAAGAAACAAATGCATATTGAGAGAAGTATCAAGAAAGAAATTTGCAAAAAAAACACAAATGTTAACCCTCCTGCAGCAAATAAGTGAGGATGTTTTGCATAATGTTGGGCCCATTAGCACTTCAAATTTTAAAAATCAGCTTTTTTAGCCAAGACTTGAGTCATGTCCATCATTTTTTCATAATCCTGCAGAAAGTTTTGTCAAAAGTGGTTATTTTGGGAAGCCAAACTTTGAATCCTGAAAGTCTGTAGACCAAGCCATGCCTTGTTATCCAAGCAAAAAAGTCATGAACAATTTCCAACAAAAAAAAGCTGATCATGCTTTTCATTGTTCCCCCATACTGTCACTTATGGAAAAATACTTCAGAGATAGCATACAATGCTCTTCAGAATCATGGGACCTCAATGCTGAAAAGAAACAGAATGAAAGAGTATTCCAAGGTATCATCACTGAAAATCATGTCCTTGAGACTCGGATAATCTGCAATATCCTTGGCAGACAGTTTCTGTCTAGACAAAGTGTCTTGAGTATCTGCAAACAGGGTGTCAATGGCATGCAACAGGGTTTTCTTGGCTGCTGTTGACTTCTTGAGGGGTTCCAGCAGAGCCCCAGTGAAATTCACAGGCAGCCCATACCTTAAAAATATGTTGGTATCAACAACACATATCTCATTCCATGTCTATATTTCAAATCATTTCTTGCCTTGCAGATACAGTATCTGTAATGATTAAAGCATTTTTTGTGGTCACAGAAAAAGAACACCATCATTTGATTTGGTAATATGCAATCCAATAAGTATTTCTTCCTGTTTTACTAAAGTAATTTATATTTTTGATTGCTCCTTATCATTTGTGTTTGATAATATTTCTAACCCTCATATTTTTGCTAGAAAAACCTGTTGTGAGAGACTAGTTAATGTTGCTTTTTAAATGACAAATGTAACATTCCACATTTAATATAGCTCATGTGTCATATACAGTACTGTAAAAATTTCAATTACAGTAACTAAAGCACTAACTATAAAAACTGTAATTACCTGAAATCCCCCTGATGAACAAGTGCTCATTCCACTAGAGTGTGTGATTATACAGGTGGATCCTTCCTACAACAATCTTAAATAATGTATCTGTATAAAGAAAATATGTTTGGCCCTAAAGGGTTCTCTCCAAATCTCATGCAAGCTCTCCAAAAAAAGTTATGTCTACAACCATTTTCTACTGGTTCATTTGACTTTGTTCTAGAGAATGTCCACCTTTAAAAGATGTGCAATTACCTTTAATAGTCACACATATTTAATTCGAGAAATAATTCTCTCATTTTTACCAAGTTGTTGCAAGTATGAAAAATTGTGAAACACCCAGTCTCAGTAGTTCATAGAATCTCATATTTGTTTATAATTATCTTTTAGTGTGGTTTCAAATTCAAGATTGGAAACCAGATATGATATTAACATATTGGAAAGTAATTCACCTCAAGACAGATTCAACGAAGAGCCTCAGCACTTTTAGGTGCATCCAGCAGATGAAACTCTCACTAAAGCCAATCCTGAGCCACTTGAGCAGACCTCCATGTAAATCACTCAGCTGCTTTTTCACTGCTGCGAATTCAGTCTTCTTTGTCTCATCCTCTTGCAAAGTCACAAATTCAAAATGCCTGAATGCGTGATGTCTCAGATTGACCTTGAAAGTAATTTACAAGCATTTCACACTTTAGAGAAGGTTGAATAAATCCTGCTGCAGCAAAGTCAGGATAATTTGCAAAATTTTTTGTGGTTATTAAGATCACTGAAATAAAATAAAAATGATCTTGAAGCAAAGGTCTAGGACAAGAAAGGGGCCAATCTTTTGTTTAATCTACAGAAAGAAGATTTTTGTTGTAAAATAAAAATAAATTTCTGGGTGGTGGGCATTTTTACTCCATTCCTATAGCATAGGATCATCATTGCAGATTTCTCAATATAAAAGTGATTAAATCATAATGTATTTTTCCCAACTTAGGCCTTCTCAACAAATGCACATTTTGGTGACCTTTGGTCTATTTGAAATATGTTTGCTGTATGCAAAAAAAAAATCCTGACTTTGGGATGGAATAGGCAAAACGAAACTGCTGTAATCCATCAAGGGTTAAGAAGAAGGGGTTGATGAGTAGCCTTAGATAATTCACTTGATGCTTGAAGTCCTCAATGTACTTTTTGAAAATGGTGATTCCAAAAAGTGTGTTATCCCCATCAGAATAAATGGCTTCAAGAGATCTTGGTACCACATAGGGTCCAAGGGATTCATAAGAGCTGGTCCATTCGCGGATTCTGGACTTTTGTACCACCACCAAAGCTGTTACTAGGTTTTCAGATTCAATCATGTGGTGCTTCTTGACTACACCCTGCAAGTTCATCTTGGTCAACTTGTCACTGGCATCTGTAGGATTTTTCTCTTCCACTTTCTTCTTGAGCCCACTGGAAAAAAAAAATACATATACTGCATGTAGAAATTTGGACTTTGATGATGGCATGTCTTCTGTCCAGGCTTAATCCTATCATTTTCCCATCCATTCAGCTAATTAAAAAAATAACCTCCAGCATGGAGAAACTTTCTCCTCTCTTTGTCAGTAGAATGAAATGTTAGGCACTTTCCTGCTATCTCAGTACCTACTTTCCTGTTATCTCTGTACCTTCCCTCTGACCAATTTAACATGACCTAACCACCTCCCAAAATCAGTTTCTGCTTTCTTTGGGTTCCTGCTGATACTGATTTTGGGAGGCGGTTAGGTAAAGTTAGGTTAGGTCAGGTTATGTTAGTTACAAATATATTTTAACTAACATAACCTGACCTAACCTAACTTTACCTAACCACCTCCAAAAATCAGTTTCAGCAGAATACGCAAAAATTAAATTCAGTTTCTGGTAGGTTGTCGTGATCATGAACTCTTCCTAAAGATTTGTCTGGATGGTAGTGTGGTCTAGGAATGAAGTACTGAGATAACAGGAAAGTACCAAATTTTCACAGATACAAGCATCTCAATACACTGTATTCACAGGCAAGGTACAGAATTCAATAACCTTGCAAAAGTTCTTATTGAGTTGAAAGATGTTCACTGAATCAATTTCAATTAGCCTACCAATTTTTCCATGGAATTCTGATGAATATCTCTTCCATAAAACACAAATTAAAAATCATATGATGTACATAAGCCTATGGGAAAACAAGACTCAACTTAGGGACACTCTCAATAATGCAACAAGTATGCCCACATTTCAATGGTCTCACTGCTGTAGTTCCAATTTGATTCACTTATTATTCACTGTTACAATAAGGAGGGCATTTTTAAGCCTCCAGCAGCAGCAGCAGCAGAGGTTCGCAGAAAAAGTAATTCTGCCCATCAATATAAATAGTCACCTTATATACAGTACACAGCAATGAAAACTGACCGATACTCGAGAAGCCGCTTGTCCAACTCCGACCCGATCTTCTCATACTGCTTCAAAATGGCCTCGGACAAGTTCTTGACCGACATGTTGAGCGGGAACCGCGAGTGGTCCCAGTCAAAGGTGGACACAAAGTGAAACACGTCCTTGGCGTCCACTTTCAAGTCCCTCGTCAACTCGTGTCTGTTCATCCGCTCCACTTCCGCAATAGCGCCGGCGACCTTGTGCGTCACGGCCTCGGCATCTGCGTCGAATTTGCTCAGGGACTCGCTCAGGGCCACCAGTTGGTCCAGCGTGCCGACTTTGAACTTGGGGATCCGCATGTTGAACATGTTGGCCATGCCCTTGACCCGGCGATGAACCCTGTCCAGGGACTTGTCCGGGGTCGGGTCGCCGGGCACTGAGATGAGCATCAACTCCGTCAGTGGCATTTCCTTGTTATTGTTGTTGTTGTTGTTGGTGGTGGTGTTGTGGTTGATGAGACCAAATAAGGTGGGATCTGACACCCAGGCCAGCACCTGTTTCCCAAGGGTGTGCTTGTGTTTCTTCAAGAGGCTCAGCAGCACTGGCAACGGGTGCTCCACATGCACCTTGGCCATTTGGCAAAAATATATACACACAAGCAAGACTCGTCCCTTCTCCAATTAATTGCATATATTTATTCATGTATTTACATATACTGGCAATGCAAAAAAAAAACCCCAGGAAGACCCTCCTGGGTTTTACCTCAATTGTATTTAATATTGGCAATATACAAGTATTTTTTTTATAATGATGGGGGTCCAAAGGAATAATGAAGGACAGAAGGCGTATAAGTGAGTGTAAGAGAGTAAAAGTATGAGTTAAGGTAATGATTTATGTATTAAGTTAAGGTGTCATGTCAATGCTGTGGTATCTCCATCTTGTATATGTAATGAAATTATTGTATGGATTGCACTGCAAGGATTATTTGTGTGAAAGAGTGTATGTGTTTGGTGAAGGTTCAGTAATAATTACTGACTGAATTATTCCCATCTGAGAGACCTAGGACTCATGAGCAATATAATGTATTGTACTTTAATCTGTAAATGAGCTGGGAGTATAGTCTTTTGAAGGTCTTCTGCATTTTAGTTTTCCTTTAAAATCTTGTTGGCTATTTCCAGCCACAAAAAAAAGGATCAGCAACTGCTGCAGAGAAAAGAAGATAATGATTTATGTTTCAAGTTGTTGTGTCATGTCAATACTGTACTGTTGGATCTTCCTCTTGCATGTAATACAAGTATTGTAAAGATTGCACTATAAGGACAACTTATGTGAAAGAGTGTATGTGTTTGATTAAGGTTCAATAATAATTACAGCCTGAATTATTCCCATCTGAAATACCTTAGAATCATGAGCATTGTAATGTACTTTAATCTGGCAGAATGGTCTTTTGAAGGTCTTCTGCAATTTTTTTTCCTTATTGAAAGTCTTCTTGGTTATTTTTCTGTCAAACAAAGGCATCAGCAACTGCTGCAGAGGAAAGAGTATAATTTGATCAGATAAGATTGAACATGATAGAAGAAGAGATATTGTGCTGGTGGATATCACTATATTCCTCAAATAAAAAACAAATGTTGCAGAATGTGCTGAGTAATTTTCCTTTCAAAAAATCCTACCATACACATCAGTTGTGCAGTACTTGCAAATTGTGGAATGTATTTTCTTTTATTTTGGTATTCATATGCAGCTTTTTTTCTGTGTTTCAAAGTCTGAAGTGCTTGAATGCATTTTAATGGATTTGGGTTGGGTGGGGAAGGGGTTTGGATATGGGAATGTTGATTGAACTTTGTGGATGCTGAAAAATAGGATATAAAGATTTCTGTTCATTCATTCATTTACAAATACTCAATGAACGGAGCAAGGCACAGTCCCAAAGTTCCTATTCAAATTATGATCATTACTGATTCTTGGTACATAGATGGAAGGTGGATTCAAGTTAAAAATTTTTGAATTCACCTAAACATCCTCTCTCCCAAAAATACAGTGAGACCCCAAGATGTGGACATAATTGGTGCATTGAGAGTATTCCCAAGTCAAAATGTCCCTAAGTCAAGTCTTGTTTTCCCATAGACTTACATTACATAATTTTTAATTGGTGTTTTGTGGAAGAAATATTCTTCAGAATTCCCTGAAGAAAATTGTTTGCCACTTGAATTTGAATTAGTGAATACATTTTCAAATCAATAAGAACATTTGGAGCACTGAATTGTGTGTCTCTGTACTGTACACTGAAATTTTGGTGTCGACAAAAAGAAAATGCAAGTGCAAAAAGTAGAAGTCCCTCTATGCTGGAGGTAATTTTTTATTATTAGCTAATTAGATGGTAATTTGCTGGTGAGAGAAATGCCCAAGAACTTTTCTTACATGAATTTCAGGGTTGGAAATATCTTTTTCTTGTAATTTGGCCTGAATTATATTTGCAATTCTATCACAAAATGTCCCTATGTCAAGTCAGTGTCCTCATGACAGGCCGTTTTTATTAATTTTTTCTGGGAAAATAAGTGTCCCCATGTCAAATTGTCCGCAGGTTGAGGCGTCCGCATGTGGGGGTCTCACTGTATTTCATGGGTCAGGAAGCTTATTGTAATTCAATAATCCAAACAAGTTTATAGCATGGTGTCTCTCTTTTTGTTGATTTTGCATCTACAGTGCACAGGATAACAGGTGGCTTATTTTTTAGGCTTTTTGGACATAATAAAACTTTCCTTCGAATTTTTTGAGGACCGTTTAGAATTTTTGAAAAGTACGAGAAGTGACTCAAAATGTTTCCGTTGAAGTCCACAAAGAAATGCAGACATTATTCCGGTACAGGGACAGAAGAGAGTCCAATAGAAAATCAATCATTTCCGCTTTTCATCGGGGTCTCATTACGGTACAAAATATTTACAATCGTCAGTTGACACGAATATGCTGGAAGTGAAAGAACAATCCAATTACTATCCGTGCATCAAAAAGAGGTGGTGATGAAACTTCACCGGTGTATTTTGCAAATGCTCTCGTCAATCCCATCAGCTCGCAGTTCATATCTAACGCGTGAATATATAACAACTTTGCTCCTTCTGCACAAAACAATATCCCACACATGCCCTCGAATTTCATCATCATCATCAATGAAAAAAAAAAAAAAGAAAACAAATAATCTTCACACACTGACCTCGCCGACGCTTTCTCAAAACACCGACGAACGAACCGAGTCTCATCCACGACGACAAGCTCAAAAACAGGCGGTAACTCATCGAAAAACGCACACCTGACACACAGATGTCGCTCACCGTCCCACTCCTTCTTTTCAGTATGCCCGTGCATAGCTTTCAGTGTGCTGTATCCCTCTGATATTGTGCTGATGGTGCTGATGAGGGACAGGAATGGCGTGATGACTGCTGGAGCCACTGGCTGATGAGGACGAGTCCAGAGGGCGACATCTGTCTTTGACTTGTTCCTTGAGCTTGCCAACCTTCACCATCACCTCTTCCCTCATGAGGTAGTAGCACATGGCTACCAGGCCCATGCCGATGAGGATGAACAGGAAGTTGATGACCAGTTTGGTCTGGTTTGCTTCTTTTGAGCTCCCAGCTGCTTCCCTACTGTTCCTGTGAATTATATGCAGCAATTGGTATAGTATACAGATGCAATACTGTCTATTGGGGAAAAGTGACAGGGTGGCACTGGGAACAGAATTTTTTCTTTAAAATCAGTTTAACTCCTCTGCATTTGAGAAAACAAAGGAAAACTCATTGTGAGCCTCTGAGCCAAACCCAAGCTTGGTTCCCAGGCTCAGCAAGGACATTATTCCTGCAAGCAAAACCCTTCTTCCTTGAAATTGTAATTCATAACTTCATCATTTAACACTTTCCTGATTCCCAACTCTTGCTGAATTCATCACTTGCAGCTTTGATTTTGCCTTGAGCAGCTCTATGTACAGTACAGAGAAAAGCTGAGCAAAATCATCCTTATAGAGCAAATTCAAAGTGTATTCCAAATTCTGACGGTTGCAACCTTCAAATTTTTCTGAGTCTTGAAAAGCAACTACAGTATTTATATTTTCTAGCAAGAAATACACAAACTTTGATACTAGGACTCATTAAGTCCTGGCCAAAGTCTGGCTGATTGTACATTCCATTCATTTCCAGTCATTTAATTCAAGCCCATTTGTTATTCATTTCAAGCTTTTTCTAAAGTCAACTTTGTGAGTTAGTTTTTCACCACTCACCATGTTTTTTGTTTATTTTTTTTACACCAACATTGGTTCATGCTTGATATTTATGCATCAACCCATGCCCAGTTTACAGCAAATTTACACCTTGGAACTTTACAAGGCGCTGAGGAAAAAATTGTAATGATGAGATTCTTAATCCCTGAGCAAGGAGGACTGACATTTTACAGGGAAATTGTTAGAAAAAATGCTTTAAAGTAGGCTCACATCAGACATCTGAAGAAATGCCATCATTTGGAATTCGTTTTGATGGAATGATAGGAAAATTTAAGAGTATTTTCATTTCAAACATTCCCTTTTTTGAATTACATGAAAATATACTGATCTTAATGGAGCATGAGCTAAAATATCAAACATTTTTAAGAAGAGCATTTTATCATTTGGTCGAAAAAAATTCATTTTCTCCAAAATTGAGTACCAATAGTATTCCTTCAAACATACATTTTAGTCCAAAAATTGGTGTAAAATTCAAAATAAGTATAGAAAAACTTTAATCAGAGTTTCATACCTGATGCAATGCAAAATTTTCTGTACTTCCTTAACAACAATTGTTTTTCAGCTCAATCATATATATGCTGTTTCAATTTCTATCCCAGGAACTTTTGTTAGACCCCTTGTACATCATACTCAATAAAGGTGTCCTCTCCCTCAAAGATCTTGCCTAGAACAATGTTCTCGGTATAAGGATTTTTTTCAGTCCCAAAGGAATACTCTCTCTCTCTCTCAATTTTATGGAGGTTCTCCACAAGAAAATTTCTTTTCACAAAGATTTTCTTCTCAATGCTTTGAATTTTGTTGTAGAGAGAGAGCCAGAAAGTTCACCTGTACATTTCTTCAGAGCAGCAAATTTTTTCTCACCTGCTGGTTCCCGGAACAAAATCCCCCAGGCCGATTTTCATGAGTGTCGTAGCCACAAAATACGCGGAATCCAGATAATTCCACTGCTCCCATTCTGCAAACGTAATTGTGGCCACCGTGATGTAAAGCACCATGACCCACATGCAGGCCGTGGTCGGCACAATAACGGGCTTCTCGGCCCCCGAACCCTGGTTCATCCCGTCGGGATCCTCTACTGTGATGATCGGCAGACCCGGGTCCTGCAACTTGCCCCCTGCCTCGTACTGCAGCCTGTACTTGTGGTTGCCACTGGCGAGGTTGCCGTGCTTGTTCCCGTGGCGGTGGTTGCAGAGGTAGAGACGCGCGTACAAGTACTTGAAAGTTTCTGGAAAAAGTAAAAAAAAATACGTACTTTTTTCTTATTGTCAATCATTCAATACGCACTGAATTGATGAGGAAACTATTCCTTGATTAAAAAAATAATAATAATGTGTTGTTTTAAATTTGTGTTTATTTACTGTACTGTCTGCATGAATTACTTTCAGCAGAACAATATTGGAATGCAGTAAACTCTGGTTATAACAAACTTGTATTTGGACTTCAGAAAAAGTTTGTTGTAGAAAATAATTTGTTATAACAAGATTTTGAAAATAATTGACTGATTGGAAGATTTTCTTCCAATTAAACCTGCATGCATTCAATATCTTCCTTTTGTGGCCTTTTCAGATGTTTTCCAGTGTTTAAAGAACTATGATCTTCAAAAAATAAATTAAATTAAAAATAAATGAAACATTTGATCTGAATAACAGGTAAACACTAGCACTTTTCTCGTCTCTTACATTTTTCTAAGCAATTCTTGTAAAGATTTGTAAGCGTGGATGTCCCAAAATTACATAAAAATTTTACCTTGTTAGGATTTCTCAAGCATACAAACCCTTTAACATGAATTTTGCTGGGTTCATTTTTTTTCATCTAACTGCCCCCAACCATCATTCCTAACCAAGGAGAAAATTGTTGAAAGAGAGGATGTTCAGGTGAATTTTCAAGAATTTTTGACTGTGATTCCACTTTATGTTTCAAGAACCATTGACAGTCACATTTTGAATGGGCAATATGAGACTGTGTGCCTGCCTTCAGTGGGAATTTTTCATTAAGAAATCATGACATGTTCCTCAAAAAAGTCTGTTATACATATACTATGCTGTACTGGGATTGGCAAGTTTGTTGTAATGAGATTTTATAACAAGCATCCTGTAGGATTTCTGCCAGGACTTGGAAAACAGTTTGTTATACTGAAAAATGTGTAGTAACAGTATTTTTTGCAATGAGATTTCACTCTATACAGACCTCTCTGACTTGAAAGGTTTCCAACCTCTACAAAACTCACATTTTGAGCTATTTTTTTTTGGGGGGACTCAAGCAAGAGAAAGTCACCCACGATTTGTCTCCTTGCATATTTTAAAAAGAAATTGAGTGACAATTAATTGATGAATGTATACCTTTGCATCAAAGTTCAGCATCCTGTTGATTAATTTTTGAGTAGTTCATGGCACAGTAATTATGTTTATCACACATTTTACCTTCATGCAATTCTTCCGTTTTTCACTGGGAAATAAAATTGCTGGTTTCCCCAACTCAAAAGGTACACAAATAAAAGTTTCAATTGGGTTTCAGTTGAAGCACTTTGACATCATGTCATCTTAGATCAACGCAAGAAAGCAACATCAACAAATGAAAAGTTTGCTGATGGATCATCACAGGGATGCTTGCTAATTGGCAGAGAACAAGAAGATTAACTTTTGCGTAATACAGTATTACAATTTGAATTTAAACAAGGAATTAATTATATTTTGCACAGAAAATTTAGTAAAGTACTGCAAAAAAGGCAGGATTACATGCTTGTCTGCGGATTTTGCCAAATTCATTTAAATTCTTTAAAAAGTGATCGTTTTTCAATTGAAAAATATGGAGAAAATAATACTGCTCTATACTACTGCTAGAGGGAATACACAGTTGTAAATGCATATAGGTGCTCTCTTCACAAAAATCTTCTACTGTTTCAGTTTAAATTGAGTACATATATTTCTGAACCGGGACAAGTTTAAATCAGGGAGGATAATTATCAATTTTCATTTTTTCATTATTCAATCAATATTTTAAAATGATGCCCCACTATACTTTGCTGTAGATACACTTACAGTCATTAAGACCCTGCTTCCCACAATTTATTCTGGCAACTTGTTATTAAGGCTACAAGCCAGTTTCATGTTCACAAAGGATAGACAGAACTTGTTTTCTAGAAGCACTCAAGAAATGAAGAATGCATAATGTAAGGATGATTTCATGTTGAAATAATTGGCAGCAGCATCATTAAAAGCAGAAAGGCAATTGAATTAAATTAAATTTCCATTCTCTCAAAAATTAGAATTTTTCAATATAAATTTTTTCATACAGTATTCCAATTTTGGTAATAATGGTCATGGCAAATAAAAGTATAGTGAAAATTTTAAATGTTTGTGCTTATTCCCTCAATGAGGTATTTTTCAAAGTCAAGTTCAGTGCTCAAGGCAAAATGGGGGCCAAACCCAGCTTTCCCAAGTGGGGAAATTGGTGCACACTGGGGATTTGTTTGTAATTCTACACAGTGACCCTGCTGTGCACCTGAAGTGTACCAAAGATCTTCTGTTGCACATGCATATCCCTAATGTGCATCAATTGTGTGTTCACGCCAGGATTACTCAGGGTCACATTTGTGAACAAATAAGTTACACCAAGGTTAAAGCACATGCATTTGTCTGATGCTCCTGTTATTTCACATTTGTGCACCAAGTGTAACCCTGGAATGGTGACAAAATTTCCTCTACAGGAGTGCACACTTGTAACCCCAGAATATCCCATATGCACCAGTTATTGTGACCCTGGTGTGCACCTACTGTGGGGTCACAGCAAAAATAGCTCCCCACTCGGGTTGTTATGTACTGTAATTTGTTTGCTCTTCAAGGCATTCATCTTCATTCAAGGATCAATTTTATTGCAAAAATGAAAAAAAGGTAAGCATCATAATACGGTACCAGCAAGAATTTTCCCCATGTTGCTCAAGTACAGGATGTAGATGGGGATCCCGAAAAAAGCATAGACCATGGTGCTGATCTTTCCCCAGTCCGTGGTTGGGGTGAATTCCCCATAGCCAACCATAGTGATCACACTGATGGAGAACATGAGAGAAACCGGGAAACTCCAGATCTCCTCATCAGGTCTTCGGGGATCGAAGCCAGTTTTCTTCACAGCTGCCACAATCTGGAAAATGGGGGTCAATAAGTCGATAATTGGGCCATGAAAATTGCAACATTGTTGAATCCAGTAATTCATTATTGGCTGACCTTATTTCTGGTAAAACAAATCCAGGAATGTTTGTATCCCCAGAGTATTCCTTTGTTAATATGCATGACACTATTTGAACAACTTGTGACATTTCAACAGAAAATGTACTCAATTATCAAGAGTTTCTAAGAGGTGTAATTACTGCATTGTACATATGTTGGTTACAACATCACCAAAACACCTCATTTTCTTCTGTCCAGCATTCGACACCATCAGAACTAGCTGAAATTTTAAAACACTTCAGTTTTTAATAGTTTGATTAAAAAGGGAATTCTCTGAAATATCTGAGGACCAGGGAAAAGTGTACCTCTACACAAGTTCACCTGAAACAGTCTTTCTGAATTTGCCAATCAATTGAAAATTATCTGGAAACAGGCTAAACACTGCTTGCACTTAAATCTCGGCTCAGCAATTGCCTTGTGCTGTGATTTTTTTGTTGAAAAAAAAGCAACTCATTAGTCATTTGCATGTAATGTGATTTTTTAAAATACTCATATACCGTGGATGAGGCTAGGTAAACAAACTGCTTGGTTAACAAATGTTATGGCTAGGAAACTTTTGCTTTCCAGGCATAACCCCTCAGATAATAAACCAAAATTTCATTGACAAACTTTTTTGGGTGGGAAAAATCCCAAATTTGAGAATTCAAAATTTGATTTTGGGGCAGAAATGCATGGCACAATAATCCAAGTGCAAATAATGAACCTATGCATTGATATGAACATTCCTTCCTCCTGGCACTTTCATGCATTTACTTTTGGGCTCAAGAATTTTTTCTTTGAGCCACTGTACTGCATAAATCATATGCTTTTCTGGGATAGAATTATTTGCTTTTCTGCGCATGATTTTTATACTTTTCGTTCTTCAAGCATTAGAAAGGTCCATTTGACTTTTATTTGCAGCATAAAACAAGAAATTATATTTTCACCTGATATTGTGTGTTTGTGCTTTCTTTCTTTGTTTTCATCAGTGATACTTCAATGTAACACTCTGGGCACATACAAAATACAGCAACTATATACTGTACCTATTTTGACAAATTCATGGCACTTTAGTAAAAAATTTATCCAATTTTCACATGTGTCTAAGTGGTGTAACACCTGCAGCA